GGGCACATCGAGGAGACATAATGCACAACACTCTCACGCTAGCCTATTCTCACACAAATCAAGCAAAAACCATTGAGCAATCTTCGACCAAACATGTCAATTAATCCAAGCTCTCTAGTTAACTTGCAAGTCTGCAATAATAATCCGTGATATAGGGAAAACCATCGGCTTCATTAAACGAGGGTTTGAACTCACATTAAGCATTTCACCATGCTCCTTGAGGGCCAATAGGAGTTCCGATGGCAGTTCAAAGGAAAACCCCTGCTGAGAACGCGTTCGCAAGTGGGCCGGTATGTAGGATTTGTGCACGAATGAGATCTCACCGGTCATCCCAACAGGACTCTTCAAATTGAAGGCACAGCGTACGAAAACCCGGTCACCAGGATAGAAGCCTCTAGAATTGATGAAAGTCACCATGCGGTGATCGAAAGGGGTCCAGTTCGGATCGATGGAGGAGCCGCCCGTTAATAGGGGGTGTCCAACAAGTAGCAGTAGTAGCAGAGAAAGCATATCAGCGAACATGAAAACGAGTGCCAGCGCGCGCGCCAAAAAGAGAAATAGCCGGTATCTTGCCACCTACACCACTTTTAAGAGGTCTCCTCCAGGCCTGCGATTTCATTGGTTACTTCGCCTTGACGACATCCGACCAATAGGAGTCCGCTCCCGCCCACGCCACAGAGACCTGCTTTGGCGACCCTATTGACTCTATCGACGCTGTCAGTGCCACTTCCTTAAGTAACCAATCCGGGCCAACAACCGGTCGCGATGTGAATGAAAGGCGAGCTAGAGGTTACCCTACAGATCATTGAATAAAGCCTCAAGCGCTCGTATAAGGTAGTGAAAGGGGCCACCGAGCTCAAAACCTCAGATGAACGGGCAGGTTGGTTTGGCGTAAACTGCTCGTCTTGGTGTTAGGCTGTCTTGAAGCCGCAAAAAAAGTATTTCCACGCAGAAAATAAGCATTATTTTGGCTAAAAAAAGCTTAGTGGACGAGATTGATCGAGTCTGATGCCGGCAACTTAGCTGCTTCTCCTCCCATAATTTGTATGCATTAGGTGTTATTTTTCTTTCAACTTTTGCTGGGCTGCCACGACATGTATTACTCTCAGTGGTCAGTGAACGCGATAATTTGTAACCTTTACAATTACAACAGACGAGGAGCCTGAT